TACATAATACCTCATCTCAGAAATATAGACAGATACTAAAGGGCCGAAACGTTGTAATAAATATGGCGACAATATGAGGGCAATAGTCCGAATAAAGTAAATAGTGTACATAATAAATACCTCATCTCAGAAATATAGACAGATACTAAAGGGCCGAAACGTTGTAATAAATATGGCGACAATATGAGGACAATAGTCCGAATAATGTAAATAGTGTACATAATAAATACCTCATCTCAGAAATATAGACAGATACTAAAGGGCCGAAACGTTGTAATAAATATGGCGACAATATGAGGACAATAGTCCGAATAATGTAAATAGTGTACATAATAAATACCTCATCTCAGAAATATAGACAGATACTAAAGGGCCGAAACGTTGTAATAAATATGGCGACAATATGAGGGCAATAGTCCGAATAAAGTAAATAGTGTACATAATAAATACCTCATCTCAGAAATATAGACAGATACTAAAGGGCCGAAACGTTGTAATAAATATGGCGACAATATGAGGACAATAGTCCGAATAATGTAAATAGTGTACATAATAAATACCTCATCTCAGAAATATAAACAGATTTGTCTTTCGTGGTGTACATTATGACGTGCAGTAAGTTTCGAGCTATACAGAAGTTATCTTCATTACCAAATTTTGACGGATGTAGATGTTGTGTAATGGATAAAAGCTCGGAACGAGACATTCAACAGCTGAGATCGAATTCCAGTTTACGCGCAAATAATCATGGGACTAGTATGAATCCATCTTTTATCTCTCCAGCTATGGGTTAAATGGTAGAATTTGCATCTGGAAAAATCATTATCTCCTCTCCCATAAAAAATTAATGGAATATTCTCTACCCCAAAATAAAGAAAATAATTATTTTTACAGCCGAAAAAATGTTTCAGCTTTAATTAACTGGCAAAGGGTTGATAAACCGTAAAAAACAAATAAATCTATAAGTACTGGGCTCAGAATAATACGTTTACCAAAGTCAGTGTAGGAACCGATGAACTCGAAGAAACAGTTTCATGTATTTTGTAAATAAATTCTGTGATATGCTATATAAACAGCTCGTGTCTGTGTTGTTAGTTTGAACGCGTTTGTGTGTGTAGTTTTTAGGAAGAAACAAAATATAAATTCTGCAGGCTTACTGTAATCAATACAGTTGTCTACTTGCTTAGTAGAGGGACATTTAATAACATCAGATTTAACTGACAGACAAACACTGTTATTCACAGCCTTTGCACAACACTAAGTCCGGGTGAAAGACGATATATAAATGGCATTTTGAGGCAGTATTGCCCAAGAATGGGCAGAGTAGTGAACGAAGAAGAGTGTTTTTTTTTCCTTATTTCGGTCGTACCAAAAAAACAAAACAAAACAAACAAACAGGATCCGTCTCTGGGAGGAGTCGGGTGAAGTATTTAACGCACGAAAGGAATCCGTTCGGCTGGCAACCCAGAAAAGAATGCATTTGGTTAGGATCATTGTGAAATGCAGCAAATTGTGTCACTTCCGGTAGTAAACGTTTTAAAAACAAACGCGAAAACAAAATAGAGATACAAAAGGGTGGACATACGTGCAAGTAGTCGAAAATAATAGATTCTGGGTTGGTGCAAGTGTCTCGTGGGACCCCCAGGAATCTATAATACCCCGCACTACCTACTACCTCTCAATTTTCATAAGGTAGTATTCATATAAAATATAAATTTAATTATTATTAATAACTGTCCATATTTCTGAGATGGGTTATTATATACATTATTTAAATTATTCGGGCTATTGTCCTTATCTTCGTCGCCATATTTATTACAACGTTTCGGCCGTTGTATGCTCCGGCCTTCTTCAGGTGCTTGGAATGTCGACCTGAACCCTTTATTTCGCTCACTGGGGTAGACTGTTCTAGTTTAATGCCATGTTTAATGGATGTCAGTTATCAGTTATCTCCTGTTAATTCCCCCCCTGAAAGTTCTCCACTGCCTTAACAGGGTATTGAACTCACACTCATTGGGTCCTGTCACTGTGCCATGTGTCGGTTATATCTATATATGTATGTATAAATAAAAATTATTTTTATTTGTATATGAAAATTAGCATTTTTATTAAATATATTTCGATGGAACCTATATCTAATTTTCATATGTACATTGTATATTTTTTTACCCGGTTTTATTTTGCACTTAACCTGACTTTGTAAGAAACATATATTGGATACATATGCTGTCTAGGGAAATATCCCCCGTGCAAAAAGAAAATTGAGTATATATAATATATATATATTATAAATTAACTGATTTAAAATATGTTTTTTTAGCTACAAAGTTCTAACCATGTTTCAAAAATGGAAGCTAAAAGCTTCGAATTTAATTTTGTAATTAAATTAAAGACATTAGTTCCATTTCATCCTCAAACGAATTTTGGAGTAACTTATTTTAAAAATTACTGGGTTTTAAAAGGCACTTCAAAAATTCATAATTCATGTTTCCAAAAATACAGAGAAATCCAATTCAACCAGACGAGGGGTGTTTGCGTGTTCATTATCTCTGTATTTTGATGTATCAGTTATTAGTTACGTTTTGGTAGGGGGTAGGGATGTATTCTTCAATGAATTCTGACATCCGTTAAATGCATGTCGTCTGGATTTTTTAAAATTTTTTTATTGTTAACGGCAAAAATTCTTACGGCATTTTTGTCTATTTGTATACTTAAAGATTTTTTTTTTGGGGGGGGTAGAATATGTTTTATTTAACTACGATTTTAAAAATTATTTTCACTTTTAATTTTTAATATACTATATTTCTTTTTAAAACAAGTAAATGTATTAGAATTACTTACAGTATGTAAAATTATTTTCACACACACACACACACACACACACACACACACACACACACACACACACACACCTAGTCGACTCGCTTAATAGCGGAAGTATACGTTTGTTAGCAGGCACCCCCACCCCACCTAAACTTAACCTGACTTTGTAAGAAACATATATTGGATACATATGCTGTCTAGGGAAATTAAAACATTACCACTCTTAATCAAAATAGATTGAATTTTCCTTACCCTTAAATCATAATATTAATTTTGTCTGCACTTATAAATTAAGTATATTTCTTTGAATGTTATTCCTAACATCGCTTGACAATGAAACGAATCTCTAGATTTTAAGTTTAATTTTTATAATTAAATTTATAAATTTAGTTTCAGTTTTGACACATGGAAATTTTCTGTGTTACGAAGGAATCATTTTTTTTTTTTTTAAACAAAATGGCTATTTCAGAATAGTATTTAATGGTTATTGGAATTTTTTTCCGTATACACCAATCCTATACTATATATATATATAGATAGATGGTAGCACTCGTTTGGAAAAATCTCGGATAGCTTAACTTGCAGTAGAACAAATCGGTACCCGAGTAAAAATGAGGAATAAAAAAAGAAAGTACCAAGAACTTTAAACCAAGGCGAAAACAATTGTCCAATGTTTAAGCTCCAAGTCCAAAGGAAAAGAAAAACAAATGAGTAAGAGGCAACTACGCAAAGTGCTCAATACTCGAAGTAGAGCAAAATCTGAGATAATCCTTAGAGCCAGACAAACCTACCTAAGTTTCACCTAAACGGATCTTCAGGGTACGGCATGCTCTCTCTCTTTATATATATATATATATATATATATATATATATATATATATATATATATATTTAAGACATTTTATGTTTATACATTCTTTTATAGATACAAATATTTAAGTAAATGCTCTGTTTATAATAAACAGTTTTAAACAACATTTACTGGCCTGAATGTCTGAGAAATTTTCAAAGAAAATATTCGTCCTCCGACAGGAATCGAACGTGTATCCTATACGGAACCGTCATATAGCCTGACGTGCCTTAAACGATTGAGTCACAGAGGATCGTTCGGTTAACAAGGTCAGTTTTACTGTTTAAACTTCAATCTTCCATGAATCTCTCACATACATTATTATCTGCTCAAAGCGTATCCAAATGTAAAGAAATGACGTCACACATTATGAAATGAACAAAGTTCGACAATTATTTTAAGACATTTTTATGTTTATACATTATTTTTATAGATACAAATATTTAAGTAAATGCTCTGTTTATAATAAACAGTATTAAACAATATTTACCGGCCTGAATGTCCGAGAAATTTTCATAGAAAACATGCGTCCTCCGACAAGAATCAAATCTGTATCCTATACGGAACCGTCAATATAGCCTGACGTGCCTTAACCGATTGAGCCACAGAGGATCGTTCGGTTAGTAAGGTCGATTTTTACTCTTTTTAAACTTCAATCTTCCATGAATCTCTGACGTACATTCATATTTTGAACCGTTTAGATGAATGAGTTGCGAGATAAAAGTAGAAGGGTAAATGGCAGGAAGTGTGTATTACGATAAGGAGGGTAGATAATGCCTTTGACTTGAAGTGGTTAAAATTTTACTGTCCAGAGAAGCAATCACGTGAGTATCTGTTCCTGAAAGTGGCAGTTCTTGGTGTGTGTGTGTGGGGAGGGCTGTCTGAACGGATATCTTTTTTGCATTTGGAACAAGTCGTCTCTATTCCTTGTGGCTCTTAGCAGTTTGTCCCTTTGCTAAGGCTCCCGATCCCCGTTACGCCATCCACCCACACAAACCCGTCAAGTAAATGTATCACTGTCTTAACCTCCTTCTCTTGCTTTCAATATTCCCCGTGAGTGTTAAGTTTTCCAAGCCCTCCTTCCTCGTTATGTGTCCAAGGAATTTCGGCTGTCTTTTCTCGATTGCGAGTATAAGTGTTCTTTCTGTTGCCATTTTCTTTAAGATTAAATGGATGATAAATTGCTCCGTCCATAGAATTCTCAATATCCTTCTGTAGAACCACATGTCTGCTGCATCTAGTTTTCCATCATTCACTGCCATATAACAGGATGGATATCACATAGCAATGTAGCACTCTTTTCTTTCTTTCAAAATCTTCCCATCAGTTCCTATCTATCTTTCTCTGTGTGTTCATATCTATCTATCTATCTATCTATCTATCTATCTATCTATCTATCTATTCGAGTGTATTCATATCTATCTATCTATCTATCTATCTATCTATTCCAGTCTAATCTATCTCTCTCTCTCTCTCTCTATCTATCTATCTGTTCCAGTCTAATCTATCTATCTATCTATCTATCTATCTATCTATCTATCTATTCAAGTCTAATAATAGATATCTATTCCAGTCTATCTATCTATCTATCTATCTATCTATCTATCTATCTATCTATCTATTCGAGTGTATTCATATCTATCTATCTATCTATCTATCTATCTATATATCTATCTATCTATCTATCTATGTATTCAAGTCTAATTATAGATATCTATTCCAGTCTATTCATTATCTATCTATCTATCTATCTATCTATCTATCTATCTATCTATCTATCTATCTATCTATCTATTCCAGTCTAATCTATCTATCTATCTCTCTCTATCTATCTATCTGTTCCAGTCTAATCTATCTATCTATCTATCTATCTATCTATCTATCTATCTATCTATCTATCTATCTATCTATTCAAGTCTAATTATAGATATCTATTCCAGTCTATTCATTATCTATCTATCTATCTATCCCAGTGTATTCATATCTATCTATCTATCTATCTATCTATCTATCTATCTATCTATCCCAGTCTAATCTATCTATCTATCTCTACGTACGTAAGTAGAAACTGTCATTCCTTTCTCGGAAGATATGCATACGTATTTAGCAACCTGCATTAAAAAAGACGAAGCATTTTTTTTAGTGCTCATGTACGTATTTCAACGAACAAGGCCACCGACAATGGTTCATTGAGAGAAAAGCTGGTAAAAAAAAAAGTATAAAATAAAAAACTTTTTCGTTCTGCACGCTATCTTAATTTATCTCACCCACACCAAAAATATTCAGAGAAACAAACACATGTTTACACAAAAAATACGCCCATATTGCAGAAATCAACAGCTCTAAATGACCGCCTTCAAGGTTAAATTAAGGACTCTTGTCAAGGTTATGTATGAGAGTAGCAGCTTTTGGTTGTTACTACTTGAACAGCTATGGAGAGTAGATTACCCAAATATCATTTTTTTTTCTCAAGCATTATGGTCTGTACTGCTTGGCATTCGCGCCGGAAGTTCCAGTACGAACATTTCAGAATATTCTAGTGTCAGTCTGATGACAGTAAAGAGGATACTTTGTTCCCAAAAGATACACCGAGAGTGATGAAAACCAAATATCTACACGGCGATCTAAATCAAATGCCTTGAGGAGGGAGTGCTGCCCTGGGTCAAGAGGGTGGCTGCTAGAAAACCCCCTATATCTATTAACAGGACTCTGCACCACGCCACACAGGCAGGAGAACCCAGTCAAGGCTGTCATGGCAATTTCTGCGACCACATCACACCTTATATCTGGCCACCAAACTCCCTAGACTGCACCCCGCTTGATTCTTATGTGTGGGGCTCAGTTGAGCGAGAAACCAACAAAACTCCTTATAAGACCAAAGATGAAATGGAGGCAAGGATTATGGTAGCATTCACCAACTTAAAGGAGACCGTCCAGTGTTTTATTTTTTAGGAATTGGTCAAACCCAAACTCAAACAAAAACATTGCTTTCAATCGTTATGAGTCTCCCAATTGAATAGAATTTTATTATAAATAATTGTCTTGTAAATGGAATTTTTAAAGCATTCTGAATGTTAAAAATAAAGAAAAAAGTGTGCAAGAGAATAAGAAACACTACCTGCCAAAAAAAAAAAAAAGTGAAGTTTTGTTTTATCGGCTGAAAAATATAGGAAATCCGATGTGAGTTGTCCCCCTTCCATTTTCACGATGTCTCTTAATCGTGTTTTCAAATTGACTTTGTGCAAAAACAATTATATTTTTCCCATTTTTTTGGCGCTGTTAGAACCACCACAAGGTAATTTTATGTAGTCCTGTGAAGTTTTGTTGAAATCGGTTGAAAAATGTAGGAAATCCGATCCAATATATAAACGTTACAGACACACACACACACACAATCTGCGTTTTATAATAAGTAAGATATATATATATATATATATATATATATATATATATCTACTAAGCCAGATACTAACTACCTAGGTTTCATCATGGGATCATCAGGGTGAGCTGGCTCCAGATGATCCCATGTGGTGAAACCTACGTAGCTAGTACCTGGCTCATTATGATTTATTTATTTTCCCCCTTGGTATCAAAATTTTAAGGTACAGGATGATTTCTTTCGCCCTGTTTGGAGGTTGCTGGTTTTTTCTTTTTTTTTTTTTTACACTGTTTTTTTTCCTCGGATGCAAATTTGTTTGAAAATTGTCCTACCCAGGTTTTTTCATTTCAGATTTACATTGTATATATATCAAAAGTGTGGATGGTCCTGCACGAAACCTTCACCACTATAATCAAATTTCATGTGCTGTTGTCGGGCTGTCGGTTTCCTAGGAATGATCTGCTTGACCCTCATACGTCGAATCTCGACGGGACAGTAGAGATTATATATATATATATATATATATATATATATATGTGTGTGTGTGTGTGTGTGTGTGTGTGTGTGTGTGTGTGCAAATATATCTAAAAATAGAAACGAATACGTTAGGTAAATAATCCGAAGGTCTTTAGTATTTTTGTTTTTATTTAAAAAAAAAACAGTGCTCAATACAAAAGTAGAGCCTAAATTATAATTATTTTTTAAAAATATATATAGCGAAGGAGTCATATTTTTAAAAAATAATTACAATATATATATATATATATATATATATATATATATATATTGTTATGGGTCCTTACCTATAACTACAGAATGAACTCTTCCTAACACTATGCATGCTACGCTTCTCAAGAGAGAGGGTCGAATCGAGTCGAGCCGATAGTAGTTCACTCCAAACCAGACTGACAGTCATACTAACACCTTCCACATCTTGTATTATTATTTCGTGTAATATACCTTCGTTATTTCTACTCTTGTGTTCGTGTTGTTCTTCCTTGGTCCTAACCTGGACCATAACACACACACACACACACACACGCGCGCGCACACACACACACACACACACACACACATATATATATATACATATGTGTGTGTGTGTGTGTGTGTGTGTGTGAGTGTATACTGGTTGTCCATAAAGTTCGTGTGCACTTTAAAAAATTTATCACTTTATTTGTATTTGCAATAGAAATCATTTTTAAAAAGGATTAGAAAGAAGTAAATCTATATTTTTTTAAAGGTTTTATTGAAATTTTATTTAAGTTTCCACATGTCCTCCATCATTAGCAATACAAAGGGTAATACGATTTTACAGTTCATAAAGAAAGTTTAAAAGAAAGTTTACGGTAGATGGCGCTGCACGGCTGTATCAGATTACGTTTCCAGACCGAAGGCAGTCGAGTCATCCAGCCTTTGCTGGTGTTTATCGCCGCGTTTCTGAGACAGGATCTATGACACCGTAAACTATTGACCAAGGAAAACAAAGATCCGCTCGTATTCCTGACCACGAAGAACACATTCTACAGGCTGTCGGAGTTGATCCAGGTATCAGCACACGCCTAGCATGTCGTACATCTCATAGTACCGCATCGAAGGTACTCCACTTCCTGTATCCGTATCATTTGCAACGTATGGAGGATCTTTTGCCCTCTGATCACTAGCCACGGGGAACTTTAGTTGATTGTTTATTGCACAAACTGCCGATCCAGTCTTGTTTACGGATGAAGCAACATTTGGAAGAGATGGAATAACAAATTTACACAACCAACATTTGTGGGCGGATCGGAATCCGCAAGGCGCAATACAGGCTAGACACCAGCATCAGGTTACGATTAATGTGCGAGCTGAAATTGTAGGTGACAGTCTGGTAGGTCCATAAGTTCTCCCAGAACGTTTTACAGGAGCTGTCTGCAGGGACTTTATTTCAAACACATTCCAGACCTGCTAGAGGATGTACTCCTGCTAATACGAAGACGCATGTGGTTCCTGCATAATGGGACTCCAGCATATTTTAGTCACATTTTTATGGATGCATTAGCTGACATCTACCATGAAAGATGGATAGATAGGGGAGGGCCGATTCCATGACCTGCACGTTCCTCCGACCTCAATCGTTTTATCTGTGGGGCCACCTAAAACAATTGCCTTATGCAGCAGCCATTAATAATTCAGAGACGCTTCATCAACGTGTGATAGGGGCCTGTGAAACCATTACGGGACAACGCATGGGTGTCGGAGAGACTATCCGTCGGCGGTAAGAGGTACTTGAGAGCAATCCGACATTTATGGTAGAAGGGGAACTTGTCTCGCACGAATGCGAACTTCTCAACTGTAAAATGATAAGATCTTGCCACCAATTTAATATTCTGCTTAAATTCATGAAGTCTAGCTATCATAGAGGAAAGTAATATTTATTTTGTTTTAATACAAAAAATGTGGCACAAGGCCAAAAGAGGAATAGGGGAAGAGGTATAGGGAAAGGTTTGTTTTCTTAAATTTAGCTAGCCACGATTACTGAGCCAAATATTAGGTTGGTGCAAAAATAATGACGTAATAATGTCGTTTTTTGACGTTAAAAAATACGTCAAAAAACGACATTATTACGTCATTAGTTTTGCACCAACCTAATATATCACAGTATTCCTGATGCTTAAAGTACAAAATCAGTTGGGAAGAGGTAAACTTCTCGTTTCCATAGAAATGCTTCTGACGCGTCGTCTATATCACGACTCTGATAGTGCCTAGCAAGCAAAAGAATACATGTTGCTCAGCCTTAGTTAACGACGGTACGACATTGCTACAAATAGAACTGGCCTCGAAGACAAAGAACTTTCCGCACTGCATGCGAACGATTATGTCTTCAATAAACACTCATAACGGAACTACGACCCTGCAGTGGAAGGTGTAACTCAGGGTTGCCACCGACTCACTGCAGCGAACGCGGTTTGGAGATTTGCCGACCCAGGGGGCATTTCGTATCACCAGCCAAGTGCGTGATGCCTCAGAATTAGTGAAGCATTTCAACCCAAGCGCCCGAGGCGAGATGGAGCTAGCCTCCTGCTTCGTAAGACCGAACTCGCCTATCAGATCATCTTAAACGGACCCCTTAACTAAGACGTGATATAACGCCTTACGGGACAATGCATGGGTGTCGGAGAGATCATCCGTCGGCCTCAAGAGGTACTTGAGCGCAATCCGACATTCACGGTAGAAGGGGAACTTGTCTCGCACGAATGCGAACTTCTGAAGGATGTGAAGTTCTTATTTGCGTCTTCCTTCCAGGATTCGTCCTCACCATCCGCTTGCAAACACATTCGATCTAGGAACGCGATGCCAAGCGTATATTGACGAATCTCAACGCTAGGCACACCCAGGCCGCCTTCAGTAGGGTGAAGGTAACAGATCTCCCGAATTACCATGGAAGCCTTACGTCCCCACAAAAAGGAGAACAAGACTAAGCCCATTAGAGTGGTATATGGGAGTGGAAGCATCGAGAGTCGGTAAAGAAGAATCGGGTAGATGTGCGAAGCACATATTTCCGCCCTTAAGGAAAGATTTCTCCGAAAGACGAACTGCAACCATGACCTTCTCTCGAACCTCCGACCAATTCATTTCCAATAGGACATCGGGACAGAACCAAACGCCGAGTATC